AGGACAACAATGATATAATTATGATGACAATAATACATAATAGCATCTTTTAATCTAACTCATTTATTTTAATATAGGAATTGTTATTAGTTGTTTACATATTTTTACATTAAAGAGTGTTCTTGTTAGTTGAGTCTTCTTATTTATTTATTTATTTATATACATATGTATAGGAGGGATTCGTTTATTTCAGGAGTAAGTCTATTTAGACTTATTTCGTTCAATAACTCATGGTCTACATCAAATTTCAATGATCTAACCGTTGAATTTAAATTTCTTAATGCATAAATCAAATTTGCAAATTTTAAAAAAATTTGAACATCATTTGATATTTCATTTCATTAATTCAAATTGATGGATAATCATTAAATCATTTTATTCATTGATTCGAATTAATGAAACGAAGTACTTAGATCATATATACAAAAATTTATATTAATTCAAGATGATTTGATACTTCATTTTTATAAAACAAATTTGACGTAATATATATATTCATTTCAAAATACACTAAAATATGAACATTTTGATTACCTTCAAGTTGTTGTTTAATTTTAACAAAACTTGATATACACGTATAAAGTGATATCAACTTTCAATCTAACGGTTGGATTTACAAAATTCATATTTAATATAGAGTTATTGAGCAGTGTAATGGTTAATAAAAGTTACACCGGTGTTGTTATAACCCCCTCATTACTTTATATTAAATGTGAATTTTAAAAATTAACCGTTAGATTGAAAGTTCATATCTCTTAGATCATATATATCAAATTTTATATTAATTTAAGATAATTTGATACTTCATTCTCATAAAACAAAATTGACGTAATATATACATTTCAAAATATACTAAAATATGAACACTTTGATTACCTTCAAGTTATTGTTCAATTTTAACAAAATTTGCTATATATGATCTAAGAGATATGAACTTTCAATCTAACAGTTAAATTTTCAAAATTTACATTTAATATAAAGTTATTAAGCGGTGTAACACTTAATAAAAGTTATACAGGTGTCGTTTGAAACCTCTTTATATATATATATATATATATATATTGACCGTAGAAACTTCGGGGCTTGCTCACCTTATTTATTTACCGCGATTCTAGAGTAGGAACAAAGCTGACAACTTCTGTTTTTACAATAAATATTCTTAATTCCTGTAAATTGAGGTAGATGGTTATATTTACTTACATTACATGCAAATTACAAAGAATATTTTTACATAATTTAATATAAAAAATCATCTTTGATTTTTAATTTTAATTAACATATAATATATTTATATGAATATCTCTTGATTTAAATTAATGTAATAAAATATTAAATAATTTTAAAATTTTGTATAAAAAAAATAGATTTAATCTACTCATTATTTTTTTTAATTTAATAGTTATTTATATTATTAATAATAAAAATAATATATCTTTAATGTATATAAATTTTAGACTAATTCTTTTAATTACTTCGAAATGACTTTTTTATTTGTTTTTTTTTTAATATTTTAACGTGGCATTCAATTTGTAAATCACTCAAGTAAATAATTTTCATTTGTAAATAGAAAAACAAAAGCACCAGTTTTGTTTTTTTCCCAAAGTCTATACAGAAGTGATAAAAGTTTTTTGCAGAGTCGTTAAAGGAAGGTGGGTTCTGGCAGTACATAGTTTATACTGTCTGCTCTCAAGTATGAACCCCCATAAAGCCACGTGGCCTTGCACTAGATTTATATAGGACGTACCCTACCTTGCATCCACACACAACAAGAGGCAAAGGGGGAAATGGAGATGGGGGAGACATTGATACTCAAGCTTTCTCCATCTCTCCTTAACTACAACTCCAATATACAGATCAGTTCCAACTCTCCTTCGTTTCTCATCATTTCACCTTCTTTCAAGAAGACCTTCTAGGCTCTAGCCACTGTCAGGGGATGCATATCATTATCACAACCTCCATCATCTTCTGCATTCAGATCAACTACTGCACACACCATGTATCATGATAGTTATACTTACTATAACTAGCTAGGGGTGGTTAAAGTGATGTGCAAACAGTGCTCACTTCGTAACTCTGTCAAAGGGGTTCAACCCCGTGTTCATCTCTAAGCATTACTTGTAAGTGTTAGATACCTAAGCTCCTACTACCATGTTTCTCTTATTTATAGCATCAATGCTTCTACAGTAGAATTATAGTATATATATCTTTAGGGATACATGTTGACGCTTCAACACAATTCTATGGTGCTCTACTTGATGCATATGTACCATCTTCTTCCTATGTGTATCACCACTTGCAATTGCTGAATAAAATAGTTTATATTAGACAATTTGTATCAAGATTCAAGAAGAAGAGAAAACCAGATTTTCCATGACCGAGGAGGACCAGGAGATTGTTGGTAAAACAAAAATTTGTCTGTTATTACATGGTTCACGTTTTTATACATGACTAATGTGTAGTGGGTTAGTTGGGCTAGTTAATAATCATCCACAATACATAATTTTAATAATAAAAAAGAAGTGTGTATGTCAAATATTGTATGTGGGATTCTAATTTCTAAGTATGTCCTTTAGTGTTTGGTTGGACTATATGCTGGATGGACTTCTTGATACTCTTGGCAGTATGTTGGCAAAAACTGGACAACTTTAGGGGAACGTGGCCATTAATATTTAATACATTAAATGGAGTAATGATGGCCAATAAATTATATTTGCCAAATACTGCCCAATTTTTGACGTAGTAGTGTAGTACTGACACAGTAGGCATCTACTAGCTTGAAAATATTTATTGCGCAACGACTTTCACTTAGATCTGGTTGGATAAGATATTGATAAGATAGGATGAGAGTCCCTGTATATACCTACTATATAAGAATACATCTACTATATAATAAAGGAAAAAGATAGATACTCCGGAAAAAAGTTCCGAAAATTACTCCAAACAAATAAAATATTAATTTAAATTATATTAAATTAAATAATTAGTTTATAATAAATTTATTATAAAATATTAATATTTTATTATTTTGGAACGTGATTCGGAGATAATTTTCGAAGGATGAAGCATTGCTCTATAATAAAATAAACTGTCCACTTGATAAATACTTATATTATCTCAATGTTAATTAATAACTAAATAAAGTTAGCTAGTTAGGATAACTTAAAAAAACATTAAATACAAATGTCGTTAGAAGTTATTTCCTTCTATTTCTATTATATAATCCAAAATTTCAAATTAGTAGGGTGTTTTTATAAGACTCGATCAATTATATATTAGGTATTAATTTATTTTTTATAAAAAAATATCTTAACTAAATGTATTTATTGAACTAAAAAAATTAAGTAGAACATTTAACTGGAGTATAATAGTCTCAATTTTTTTATTTTTGAAATACAAAAATTTTGAGAATATACATTAGGCGTGTATCATGAATTTAGGAATTAGGGTGATGAATCCAATACTTGAAAAATTCTATAAAAAATATTATTTTTGAGTGAGTTTGGATAGGTCTTATGAGTAAAATAAATTAAAATTTTGATTTTACATGAGTTATATTGAACAAGTTCGATTTTGAATTTTTAAACTCGTTAAGAATCGAACTCGACCGAAAATAAGATAAAGTTTAGATTTTTAGTACTTTTATTTAACTAAACAACAATGACTCAAACTCAAAAGTCTTTATTTCAAATATAATACAATCAATATTTGTCACTTAATTTTCTTTTTCCATTTTTTCATTATCTAGATGTTTCTTTGTTTTCTTCTTCTTTATTCAACTTCTCAACACATTAGTCGAGTTTTAAAGTTTATCTTTTTGTTTCTTTTTTTTTTTTGTTTTTCTTTTCTATCTTCCTGTCTCTATTTTGAATACAATTTGTGCGACCGTAATTTCTTATGAATTTTATTGTCTAACTTTAAATTTTTTGTGCATGTAACAACTATAGATTTTGTTATCTTCTATTTTTTCTTCTCTAGTTTGTGAATGTTTCATTTACGAATTTACTTACACCATCTATTGTCACCTTTATTCTATCTTTGTACACTATTTTGAAAATATATATTTTTAAAATTTTAAGTTTCACCTTTGTTAAATCTCAAACTCGATTGTATCCACTCGCTCAAATTCGAATCTGTTTCAACCTAAACCACCTCAAATTGAAAGCTCAATAGATCAGATATGGATTACATTTTTTCAAAGTTAATTTTCAATGAATTTTACATTTTTTTACCAAATCCGATCAAACCTACTCGTTCTTCACCCCTATTAGGAATAGTTTGGGAAAGAAAAAAAAATATTAAAACATTTATTGATCTTAACGAATAAAAATAATTTATCTTTCACAAAGTAAAACGAATAAAAATAATTTATCTTTTACAAAGTAAAAATAAGATAAGAGAAAAAAATAATGAAATAGATAATTATTGAAAGAGTAAAAAAGCTACTAATTGTGTGGAAAAAAAACTTTAAAAACCTCTTAATTTTTATTAAAGAATTAAAAAGTGTAATAATTCAACCGAAAGTGAAGACTTAAAAAAGTGTTCTTTATTATTAACCTTTGTAAAGCACTGTCATTCCTTCACGTGAAGAACTTGTTCCTTCATTGATTATTCATTTCAATAACAATCCCGCCCTTCAAAGAGAGCATATCACAACGAAAAATAAAATAAAAAATAAAAACAATACTACGATCAGTTATTTATATTTCATAAATACCCGACATTTTACTTTACAATTAAGTTACCCCTTGGCGGCCTCTAGGCTTTACAATTGTTGAAAATAACACCAATTTTATTTTCATTTTAAGCACGGTGATGACTGTCTCCCTACTGTGACCATTATTTATTTATTTTTCTCTTATGCCCACCTATTTAACCTCGAAGGGATTCAACAAACCACGGTAACGCCTCGTATATATTTGATGCCCGATTTTCAATGTACTGCAGAACTTAAACTAGAGCCATTTTCGGAATTTAGCATGGTGCATTAGTACCTGTACAAGTCTTCAAAATGCAATAGAGATTGAATGATACTACATTTTCATTGCATCTTTACAAAGTATGGAAGTCTACATCATCAAAGTTTGACACAGATAGTTCAAACTTTAAAGCATACTAAATTGACTGTCCAAAAGAAAAAGAACAAAGGCAGGAAAAAAAGAAACATGTTCAAAAGAAAAAGGGGAATAGCAAAATAAACAAGATACACTAGGCAGAGATTGTTTCGTACTTTACAGTTTAACCATGAGGAGAAAGAACAATGACTTAGTGAAGCTTCAACATTTCTACAAATATCTAAAATGGAAATTAAATCCTATTTTTCTTACCACATATCTCTTGTAAACTATTCACAAGCCAGTTTTGTGTCAAAGCTAGTCAAGCATATGGCAAAAGCCTGAAATGCAGAGAGGGGGTATCGATAATCCATTGTAAACATATCCTTGCCAACCTTGCCAAACTGAAGAATAATCTTGTCATGGTCAGAAGACTGCGTTGGCTGAGATGGTGTAGGCCCTGTGCCTGTAGGAGCACTGGCTACTGGTGCTGGCGGTGTGGCCGCAATCAGCTGAAAATTCTTGACAGAGGCAACAGTGACCCTTCCTCTAAAGTTGAGGCACCAACATTGCAGCTGTTCATGCCACCTTGGAGACTTGTTCTTTAGAACTAGAGGTCTTGCCTTTCCCTCTTCCTCTTCATTGCCAGTTCCCATTATGTCGGAGAACCTGGCACTGCTAAACTCGGTTGAAGTGTCAATTGATCTCGAGAAGGATATACTCCGAAAAGAATCCTCAAGGGCACGGGGAAGGAGTTCCGGCTGGCCAGGGACAGCACCACCAGGCTCAAGGGCTGAAGCAGGAATTGAGTACATTGTGCAATTCATCCTCCGTGGGCCCCTAGTACCGAGGACATTCAACTCATAGGTGACCTGGGCAATATTGTAGCTGCCGCTAGGAACCTTTGGAGAAACCTTTTTTGAAGAAAACCTACTGCTGCGCCCAGGTGGAGGCAGCATAGCATTGTTGTAGGGAGGTTGAGTGTCATAAATTATAAACTTGGTGCCAAGAAAATTTGACCTGAAACAAGGAAATATTAATGCGGTACAAGTACATGATAACAAAAAAGTAAAGAAAAAATTTGATTTCAAGCACACTTTCTTTGATAATGGTAAAAGAATTTATAAAAAACCTTAGATCTTATAACAAGTCAATCAAAACCATAAATTGTCATATACCATGACTGTTAGTGGAAAATGAGAGCAGACCCAAATAAGTCTTACCTCAGTTTTCCAATGTATGTACTACTAGATCTCGATATGTTATCTGCATCCATTGATATAATATACTCCGTGCAAGTTGTTCTTCTTGTCCTTTTTGCAGAGAGAAGAAACTTTCCATTTTCAACAAGCAAGGCTGCAGAAACACAGTTATCAGTCCAGAAAATGTCCCAAAGACAATGACAGGCAGGACCGTACAATTGCTAAGTGCATTATGCATATTTATGCAATAATGCATAAATATAGTAATAGCAATACAGCTATCCACTCAAAATAAGTAACTACATATGCCAGCATAGCAAACAATTGAACCAATACACTAAGAAAGATAGGCCACAAAGCATGGACAATCTGCCCATAATTATGGAGAACCTAAGCAAAGACATGTATTGCACAACTAAAAATTATCTAAACTATCAGGCAAAAAAAAAATAGTCAGAAATGATGCTGATAACAAAGTGATTTTTTTTTAAATGGATTATATGACCACTTCTAAACAATAAGCAAGAAGTGGCATCAAAACCCAACACTAGAGTAACTTGGTAACCAGCAGTTATTATTATAAAATTTCCAATAAATTAACAAAAGAAACTCATAAGTGTGCCACAACAGAGAACTTGACCATCATATACGACACTAGTCAGATATAAAAATTGCAAAAACAAGAACTTAGTTCCAATGAAAATTTAATTAGGGCAAACAATTTCCACAGTCACTTGGGAGCTTTTAGTAAGATTTAGTTTATGGTAGCAAAACTTAAATTTTATTAAGTAGATTAGCATTCTTAATCATACATGTCAATACAAGTCAACAAACCCTCCATCTCATCACTTTTTACCAATCCAAATATAGAAATGAACATCAAATGCAATTTAGCATAATTAAAAATCAAGTAAACAAATAGATTTTATATTGAAAGATGACCTCAGCTCAGATTGATAAGGGAAAAGTCAACACATATATCAATTGCCATAAGTACATAAGTTATACAGTAAAAAAATCACAAAAACAAGATAATTACATATATCCATATGCATTAGGTGTCAACAGAAGAAAACACACCAGGACTAAGACAAAGGAAGAGGTGGTATGTTAGCTTCGATTTGTCTCTCTTGATGAAACACTGGATAGTTCCATCCCTATGCCCAGGCTGCAGACAAGAATCAACCAGGCATAAAAATTTAGAATTTGGTCATGGTCCAAATTTCTTATTTTGGTATACATGAACCAATCATTATAAATATATTTAAGGCACAGGATAGAAGAACAAAACAATCTCACCTGCTTCAGGGAAACAGGGAAAGTAATTTTCCCACAGAATTCAGGACTGCTGACAATTTCTTTGCACATTTCTCTCCAGGACTTGCACACAGCCGCACACGCAATCACATGCTTGCGACCAGGCCAAGTACTCTCACTTGCTTCCAATCTCTTAATAACATCACGAAGAAGCTCTGGCGGAAGGCTAGCCCACCGGCTGTTCTGTATAACCGGTGGCTGGTCCTGCAACTCGTGGACAGAACTGCGTGACTTGCCTCTGTTATGGCCAGGAAGCCTTGCGTCAAAACTCCTCCTTGATAGGCTTCCAAATCCATCCCTTACATCACGAACTATGCTGCGGAAGGACATTTGTTGTGTAATATAATCACAGCCAGGAATTAATATATCATCAAAGAGCCACTAAAAGAATGAATGTTCTACTCTAGTCTCTTGGAGAATGTCACAACTGAAACCTTAGAAGAGTGAGGACCTGCAAATAAACCAAACTTTATTTTAAATTACATCTTCAATGCTTAGTGATCAAGAAATAAAAGAGAAGGAAGACATATAGGGTAAAGCACAAAGTGGAATGAATAAAAATAAAACCAAAGATTCCCAGAAAAGAAAGCCCCACATGGACCTAAAGGTTAAAACAACCTAAAATTCCATACTTTTGTCAGAAACATGTTTTGGCGGGTTTTAAACCTGACCTTGATCCGCCTCAATCCAACTTGACATAGGAGCAATTGAACCAAAATACAAAAACATATCAAATAACCAAAGATTCTATTTTATATAAACTTCAACTATATGTAATTGTAGAAGAGAATCTAGTTGCCCTATTTCTAGTTTATCTTTTCCTCTTTCCTATTATTTTGTTCAGGAAGTTACAAGCTTCACTAATCGAATGAAATACACACAAGCACAAGAGAAGAGCGAGAACAAAGAATGGTCCTATCTCTAAAACCCTGAGATTAAAAAATATAACAGATCTTTAAAGTGCACAAAAATAGATCAAAGCTCTTTACTACAACCCTCTTGTTAAACAAAAAGCAAGAACCCAAAAGAATCCTAAACCAAAACACAATTTTTTATTTTTTATTTTGCAAATACACAAAAGTTACACACCAAAAAAGCAGAAAACCAGGGACTTTCCCAACTATAAATTTGACAAAACCCAGAGAGAGTCCTAGACCATAAAACTAGAAACTTCCAAAAACAAAAAAAGAAAACCCAGAAGAAAAAAAAGCATCGGAAGTTACAATTCATACCCTAAAAACATATGGGTCTAGAAGATTCCCACACCCCAATCTTGGTGAAGAAAAAAAAAACAGAAAAATAGAAGAAAATTGAAAAGATTAAATAATAATATTAATTGAAGAAAGGTTGGTTGATAAACATGGCAACAGAAGGCATGGTAGATTAGATGAAGAGGTAGAGCTGACTAACCATGAAGTTCGAAAGTGTTGACAGAAGACACGTTTTAGATCCTGTGTTTCACATATCACAACTCTCTTTCTCTCTCTAACTTTCTTTTCTCTCTCAAACACAGAGGCTGACTCTGGACGAGACACGGACGCGATACCTTCATTAAATCCAACACAAAAACACGTAAAAAGAAAACTGACTAATAATTAATCACCTAACGACTATTATATGATGTAAATTAACAAGAAAAAAAAAACATTCCTATTAATAGAATAAATTTAAGTAAATTTATTTTTAAAATAAAAAATATTTTTTACTAAAATATTATTATTATATTTATGAATAATTATTATAATTTTTAAATAAATGAAAAAGAGAAAAAAAATTATAGAAAAGATAGTTTTAAGAAATTGTAAAAAAAAAATTAAAGTTAAAATTAACTATGATAAGATTTATCTTTTTATAAAATGGTATAATAGTATAGATGTTATTATCCTAAAATTATTAATAAATAAATTTTAAAACCTAAGTTAAGTAGAATATTTTAATTTTCAAATAATTTTAATTCTGTAATTAAATATTGATTTGGTCTTAAGGTGTAAGGTTATCGCGTGGATTGCTTATAAGCAATTCATCGTTTTATATCATTTTTTATTATTATTTAGATGTTAAAATAGGTTACTTAAACTTTAATAAAGTTATTTTAAGAAATTTTGTTATTTTAAAAAAAAATGTTGATGTGACAAGTAAGTTGCTGTAAATGTCCTAATGATTTTCTTTATAGTGAAATTGGGAATTGACGATTTTAACCTTGATGGTTGACCTTTAGAAGTTACTACTACAAAAAGTTACCTACTGGTGGAGGTGCGGGTGCGGGTGCTGCGCTCACACTTCACGCTTTGCCTCGGAGGGAGTCGGATAGCATGCGAAGCGGCATACGGAGGTTTAAGATGATGTGACGCCACAGTTTCCGATACACTGCTTTGACTGTGACATTATTTATTAACTTTAATTATAATACATATATATATATATAATAAAGTATATATATAAACAAAATATTATGTTTAATATATAAATTATATTTAAAATATATAAAAATAAATAATTATAATAAATAAAAAATAAATTCTAAAATATAAAAAAATTCTAAAATTTCTCTCATCTAAATTTTTTTAAAAACACGTTTGTGTGAAATAAATATTCATGATTAATATATAAATATTAATAATTAAAATATTATATATTCATAATTCATAATCATAAAAATTAATCACAATGATTCACCTTGTGATGAAGGGTTGATATAATATAAATAAGATTTTAGGTTTAAATTTAGTATTATCATTGAAATTTTGATAGATAAAAAATATAATAAAAGAAATTAAACATATTTTTTATACTTAAATATATTTTTAATATCTCAAAATTAGGATAAATTTATTTTTGGTTTCTCAAATTTAAAATTATTATTTTTAATTTATGTAATTTTAAAATATTTTATTTTAATTCTTATATTCAAATTTTATTAAAAAATTTATCAAATATAATCATATAAAATATACCTAAAAATATTTTTATTAGTAAAAAGTATCACATTAAACTCATATTACATAACTATCTTAATTTTTTTCTCAAATATATTACTGATGACATGAAAGATTAAATTTACTAAAGTATATTTACTTATTTTTTTTTATTAGAGTATGTTAATGTATTTTAGGACAAATCTTTATTATAATTTGTTGACATTCTTTTAAGTAAAAACAAATCAGTGTATGTTAACAAATTTTACTATGATTTTTTAATGTACACTTACTTCGTTGGAATATACTAACAAATTATATCATTAATGTATTTTAAAATAATCCTTAATTATATATTAATGAACTCTAACTAAATTTTAAGTGGATATACTTTAACAAATCTCATATAATCAAAAGTTGTTATCACATGTAATTTGATACTTATATTTTTAATGAAAATTAAGGTTTGATCTTCATCTTATTCATAAAATCACAATTAAAAATACTATTTTATTTTATTAAGAATCCACATAATAAAAAAATTACTAAAAAAATGTGACACATCCGGTTCTCGAATAATTTTTTCAATAATTAACACTCAACTTCGTAAATATTCAACTATTATCAAGTGGGATTACTTTTAAGTTTTAACACATAATACAATAGATAAACCTAAAGAAAATAACTATTATGTTTTTCATAATACAAGTATTTTTTTTTTCTTTGTAAAATTCAGTTTGAGTTTACATTCTCCACCGCCTAACCTATTGCAGTCTTATCACGTCTTACAATATTATGATCTTTATAAAATGTATAACCATAGCCCGTAGGCATGTAAGAAAAAATTGATAACGAATAAGAAGAACCATTCAACTTTGTATGATGGAACTATGATAGATCCTCTATTCCCAATTTGTCATTGTCTTTCAAAAGATTATTTTGACCATAAAATTTGTGGATTAGAAAACCAATAGGATCTCATACAACAGTTTTGGTTTTTAAAATAATATTATTCCATTTTTTTTTTAATTTAGTTAGCTGATTTTGGTCGATTTATTTGTGAGACTTTCGCACTTGAAAATGTTTTCTTACTTTTCTTAGGCGTTGTCTCTTTTTTATTTATTAAAAAATATTTATAAAAGACTATCATAATGGGAAAAAAAATTAATTTACTAAATATAATATTTACTTTTAATTTTATTACATGATACCATTTTTGCTTAGAAATTAAATGATACCATTTTCTATGACGTTTATTACTCTTTCATTAATACATTTTTTTTAATCTCTTTTGAAATTTAAGCCCAACTTTACTCAGTCCTCCATGTGTTGTTGCAGTCGTATGATGTCTAATTATGATCCGTGGTCGTCATGGCATGTAAGATAAAAAAAAATGTAAAAAAGAAGATTGCAAGTTGTATAATGGGAGTATGGTATGGTCGATGCCACAATCCCCCCATTAATGGAATCAATCCATATAGTAGAAGAAAGTCAACTGCGAGTGGTCGTATTCAGGAACACAACGTAATCCTTTCACATTGAGGGACTGAAAATTTTAAAAACGTTTAAATGAACCCTTTAACAGAATAGAGTAAGACAAGTTGTGGTGATTAAAATAAAATACATAGCGATGGTGACTTTATAGTTGACCTAGCTAAATGTGTATATAAAATTGGATATATATGATTTATTGAATAGAAGAATAGCATGATAGCGTTATATATATTGGGTGGAAAGATAAACATGGAAGATTTTCAAAAATGGAAGATGATTCAAACTTGGTTTGTAGCTTCCACACGCCGACGTAGGGGGCAATGCAATGTGCAAAGAGGCGTTTTTCACGAAACAAGTTTCTGTGGGAGCATTTCGTCAACGTCAATGAATTCATTGCCTTTCGCCCATCGTTTGCTAATTCATAAATATTTTTGACCAATAATTCAATTAACATGTACTACTAATAATCTTCATTGAACTTATTTGTAGTTTTTTTTTTTTTTCCAGAAATATTTCTAGAGGACAGCATATAAAGAGAAAATAAAATAATTTTTTCATAAGTTAAAATTTATTTATGTATAAGTTAATTTATAAAAATTCATATTAATTTTTTTTAACAATTCCCAAATTCATGTTCTCATTCGTCTTTTTTTTTTAAATTCTTTTTTTACGTCTTTTAACAAGTCTCAAATTAAGGGGTGTATTAAGATTAAGATTTTAATTATTTTTAAAAAAATTTATTATAAAAAATTTTTTGTGCTATTTAATTAATATTTTTTAATATAAAAAAATTATATAATATTTAATCAAGACAATCAGAAATATTTTAAGAGTCCATTAAAATATAATAGTACTTAATTTAGGATTTTTTTAAGAGTTTGTCAAAATATGATAGAACTTAATTATGATTTTTTTTACTTAACAAATTTTATTAGTATTAAAAATATAGAAATTTCAATATATTATTTTAAATAATAAATTTTGTGAAACTTTTTAATATAATTTACATAAAATTTACTTATTAAACAATATCACAATTACTTTTGAGATTTAACATTATTTTTTTCTTTTATATTTATACTCATTTTTTTCCTCTTAAATATTTTCTCTCGCCTTTCTTAGTTTTCTCTCTTGCCATTTTTGCTTTTTTTTCTCATTTTCTTCTCTATCTTATTTTTTTTCCTATCTCATTTTTTTTCCTTTTCTTTTTGTTCATTTATCTCATTTACTTCTTCTTCTTCTCCTTTTTTTTGTCTCATATTCTTTTTTCTCTATTCTTCTCTCATCGTTTTTGCTTCTCTTTCTCTTTCTTCCTCTCTTTCTTTTCAATCTTTTTTCTTTTTTTATTTTATTTATCTTTTTTACTTATCTCTCTCTCTTTTCTTCTTCTCCTATCTTTTTTTTATCTACCAATTGATATATAACTTATCAATATTTATTTTTAATTATTAAATGTTTAAAATGATTTTTGTATTGTCAAATAATGTCTATTGTTAGATTTTTTTAATTATTAAAATTTATATGTTTAATTTTAATAAATATAATATTAAAATATAAAATTTTGAAATATTTTTTACTGTCTATTGTTATTAGTATTTTTAAATCACGATTCATAAATTTTAAACCAAGATCTTTATTTTTGTTTAATATACAAGTTGAACTTGTATTTTTATGTAAATACTATATAACTTTATTTGCAAAGAATGCTATTTTGATGAATTTCCAATTAAATTAGTAGATAAATCTCAATCTTCAATGTTATTAGTTAATGAATATCAATTTTAAACATATTATTCATACTCAAGTGCATGAAAAAAAAACATATCATTACATAAAAAGCTAGTATAACTTTAGATATGTGAACAAGTGTTAGTTGGAAAAATATTAAATTTAATTATTTATCAAAAGACAAAAAAAATTATCTTGATTTTACTTTTTTTTATGTATATTGTATTTTTAAAATTAAATCTTATAGTATTACAAATT